TGACTGATTGACTCGTTGGTTGACTGATTGACTCGTTGGTTGACTGACTGATGCAGGGCTTGGGAAGCCAAACTGAGAGGTAGAGGTTCGGTTGGGAATGTTGGGGTTCTGAGGTAAGATGGTCGAAGGCAAAGCTGTCAGTGTTGGAGAGAAAGGCATTGGAGGTGTTGAGCAGGAGGTCTGAATGGGAGGAATGCCGATTCCTGAGGAAAACCGTGTCTTATTATCCTTGATGTGGCCATCGCTGGCTGGATCAGCATTTATTGCCCATCCCTTATTGTCTTGGAGCTGCTGCCTTTCGTTGCCTCAGTCCATTCATTGCACATCGATCCATGGTGCTGTTAGGGAGGGAGTTCCAGGATTTTGATCCAGTGATAGTGAAGGAACAACGATATATTTCCAAGTTGGAACGGTGAGTTAGTTGGTGGTGTTGCCCTTGTCCCTCCAGATGGTCACGGTCGTGGCTTTGGAATGGACTGTCTCGGGAGCCTTGCCGAATTACTGTGTAGTGCACACTGTGGTTGGCACCCAATGTTGCTGTTGTCTGTCGATGGTGGAGGAAGTGAATGTGGTGCCAGTCAAGCGGGCTGTTTCGTCCTGGGTGATGTTAAGGTTCTTTGTTCTCCAAATCACTGGCACAGAATCTCAACGCTTTGCCCTCGTGCAACATCTTGATACTCTCTGACATTGCATGAGACGCCAGAGTTGTCCCTGATTACTGCAGTGGTTCAGTGTCTTTTTTATTTACATATCTATAAGTTTAAAGTGAGAAGGGAAAGATATAAAAGGGGCCTCAGGTGCAACTTTTTAATGCAGAGGGTGGTGCATGTATGGAATGAGCTGCCACAGGAAGTGGCAGAGGCTGGTACAATGACAGCATTTAAAAAGATTGGTATATGAATGGGAAGGGCTTAGAGGGATGTGACTCTGTGCCCACCCTCTGAGACTCTGAAATTGAACAGGTTCAAGACTGTTGAAACAGAAGGGCCTGTTTGCATGCTGTACATCTCCGTGACTCTATCTCTCTGAGCGATGTTTGACTGGGATCTTTCTCTCCTCCCATCCAGTGTTGCCAGCGGGTACCTCTATGTCACCATCGTGTACAATATCTCGGTTAGCCTCGCCCTCTACGCTCTCTTCCTGTTCTACTTTGCCACGCGGGAACTCCTCAGTCCCTACAGTCCAGTGCTCAAATTCTTCATGGTGAAGTCTGTCATCTTCCTGTCCTTCTGGCAAGGTGAGAGCTCCCGCCGAGAAACAGCGCGGTCATGGGCGTTGGGGATGGGAAAGTATAGAACCAGCTGCCCGAATGGCCTGGGGAAGCGAAACAACATGAGCATCCAAAAAAGGATAAATACGTGAAGTGAAATACCACAATGGGGAGGAGTGGGGCAAATTAGATGGGATGGCAAAGAGCTAGCACAGGAACAATGGGATGAATGGCCTTCCATTACTGCACTATTCTAAAGAAGATATATATTTTTAACAATGTACTTTCTTTAAATAAAAGGGCAAGGGATTGGGAAGTGAATTGAGGAACATGTTGAGCTGGAAATGTTTTTTTTAATGGCGATGCCTTGGAAGGGCGTCCCTCTGAGGTCTGGTTTGTGTTCTGTTGTTGTTCGAGTTGCTTCAGGTTTGTTCCCGAGTGTCTCACTGTAGCAGGGGTGTGGTCTGTAGATATTTTTAATCAACCTCATGTAGATGTTATAACACTTCTCTGGAGCAGGTGGGCCTTCTGGCTTAGAGGTAGGGACATTGCCACTGCGCCACAAGAGGGTGATGATGGACAGCTGTTGAGCAGAGAACGAGGTCTGCCTCGGCCTGTGTTTGGGGGGAAAAGGCCACTCTCTCAACAACTCCGGCTCCTGTTCCTGGGGCCAGCATATGTTAAAGCTCATTTTCCTCTTCAGTGTGAAACAAGATGATTTCAATATCACTGTTTTAGGACTTTCCAAACGTACGAGTCAATTTGGCCTTCAAGCTGCTCTGCCATTCAGTAAGATCATAGAGTCCTTACAGTGTGGAAACAGACTATTCGGCCCATTGAGTCCACGCTGACCCTCTGAAGAGCATCCCACCCAAACCCCTACCCTATCCCCGTGACTCTGTATCTCCCATGGCTAATCCACCTGGCCTGTACGTCCCTGGTCACTGTTGACAGTTTGGCATAACCTGCACACCTTTAGACTGTGGTAGGAAACCAGACCACCCGGCGGAAACCCACGCAGACACGGGGAGAATGTGCAAACTCCACACAGACAGTCGCCCGAGGGTGGGATCGAACCTGGGTCCCTGGCGCTGTGAGGCAGCAGTGCTAACTGCTGAGCCACAATGCTGCCCATAAATCAAACCCATTTGCATGTCTTGTGAATTTCACCTTCCCACCTAACCACCTACCCACGAAAACCTTTCATTTCCTTGTCGGTCTATCTATTTCTGCCTTTAAAGTAGTCAATGATCTCACGTCCAGTTCCAAAGTTGCACAACACTGAGAAACAATTCTCTGCTCAATTCTGTCCTGAAAGAATTATCCCTAATTTTAAAGCAGTACCCTCACCCAGTACTGTCTCTTTTTGGAAAGCTTTCCAATCGATTAATGCCCTCTCCCTCCACTCTGATACTCCTCCCCAAAATTCTGTAAACAGCTTCCCTTCACATATTTAACCCATTCTCATTATAACTTCTTACTTGATCTGCTTCCACCACCCTCTTCATTCCACATCACAACAATGTGCTGTGTTTAAAAATAAACTACTCATTTTGTTTTTTTATATTCCTCGACAGCTTCTCCTATCAATAAGCTGAAATATGAATGTTGCCAGTTAACCTTAAACAAGGTTCAGCATAAGATAGACTTGCTTATTCTTCGGTTCCACCCAATTTTTTTGTTTTAATTGTTTGCTCAAAGGATGAGGGTGTTGCTGGCCAGGCAGCATTTATTGCCCATCCCTAATTGCCCAGAGGGCAGTTAAGAGTCAACCGCATTGCTGTGGGTCTGGAGTCACATGTAGGCCAGACCAGGTAAGGGCGGCAGATTTCTTTCCCTGAAGGACGTCGGTAAAAATCCCATCTGGCTCACAACTATTGGCAATAGCCAAATATAAAGGCAAAAGACTACAGGTGCTGGAAGAATGAAACCAGCACAGAAAGTGCTGGAGAGACTCAGCAGGTCTGGCAGCATATGTGGGGAGAGAAACAGAATTAACGTTTCGAGTCCGGTATTACTCTTTGTCTGAACGTGGCCAACCATCAGATCAGAGTTTTATTGAATTCAAATTTCACCTTCTGCCATGGTGGGATTCGAACCTGTGAACCCAGAATATTAGGCAGTACTGGAGGTGGGAGGCAAGTGATTTTTTAAAAAAATTCCTTCATGGGATGAGGATGTCGCTGGCTAGGCCAGCATTTACTGCCCATGCCTAATTACCCAGAGGGCAGTTGAGTTGCCCACATTGCTGTGGGTCTGGAGTCACATGTAGGCCAGACCGGGTAAGGATGGCAGTTTCTTTCCCTAAAGGGGCATTAGTGAACTTGATGGGTGTTTTCCTGACAAACCGCAACAGATTCATGGTCACCATTAGACTCTCAATTCCAAATTTTAATTGAATTAAATTCCACCATCTGCCCTGATGGGATTCAAATCAGGGTCCCCAGAACATTAGCTGAGTTTTTGGATTAACAGTCCAGTGATGTGTGTGTGTGTGTGTGTGTCAGGGTGTGTGTCAGGGTGAGTTGTGGGGTGCAAAGTTAGGAGTGGGAGTAGATACCTCTGTTGGCAAACAGCAATCATAGTATGAACACTCCCACAGAGCATTAAAGTGAAACGAGACTCTCGGGCTGTTCTAGAAAGACAGGACAAATAGTGACTTCTAACCAACACAAAACAGACGCTCAAGATGCAGACAATCCTTAAAATACATGAACAGTTGGTCACCCTGGTTCTGTCAACCGCCAATAACAGTAAATGTGTGCTGAAATTAACACAAGGCCAGTGTCGAAACCTAATAATCCTTCCTTTTATAAAACCCTTAAATGTAATGCAAATGATTGAGAATTGAATGAAGTCAACCTGACAATTTGGCCACGCATTTAGACAATATACGTAGAGGATAGTAGACCTTTTATTTTCATTTTGTAAGTTAAGGAAACTTGCATTTTTGGAACACTTTGTTATGCTGAGATATTTCATAGTGGTGCAACTTCTAAATTAGCTTATGTTCTAATTGTTGCAGACAATGTGAAGAATTATGATTGTTTGCTTTCTTTGAATCGTCATGACGTTTCGGCAGCATCCACCCTAATAACCTTTCAGTAAAACAGTTTAACCTGCCCTCCCCGTCTCTGTCCTGTGTTCCTGTAGAACTGATTGCTTTTGGATTACAGGACTCGGTCTGACTCAGATAGAGGCCAAGAGCACCCTCTGCTGATGGAAATGTGCATAACCACAGACCCAAGACTCCTCCATTTTGGGAATAGTTCATGGGTGTGATTTAGCAAGTGATACTGACTAGCAGGCCATTCGGCCCATCGAAACGTAACATCCATGCCCTCCCTAAAGTTTTGTTCTTGCCAAGATGTTATTCTATCTGCACAGTGACCTTTTCAATGATGTACGAGTGTCAGCAAGCTATTCGACTTTGCGATGCATCACTGTGTGTGTGTGTGTGTGGGTGTGTGTCAGGGTGAGTTGTGGGGTGCAAAGGTAGTTATGGCCAGTTGGTGGTGCAGTAACTCCACTGGAAGGGTAATCCAGAGGCCCAGGCTCGAGCTGTGGAGACATAGGTTGAAATCCCACCACGACGAACTGGTGGAATTCATATTTAATTAATAATTGCAGAATTGTAAGCTAGTTTTTGTAACAGTTACCACGACAACCACCATTTTTTAAAAATTAATTCATGGGATGAGGGCGTCACTGGCGAGGCCAGTATTTATTGCCCATCCCTAATTGCCCAGAGGGCAGTTAGCAGCCAACCACATCGCTGTGGGTCTGGAGTCACATGTAGGCCAGACCAGGTAAGGATGGCAGTTTCCTTCCCTAAAGGGCATTAGTGAAACAGATGGATGTTTTCCCAACAGTGGATTCAAGGTCATCATTAGACTCTTAATTTCCAGATTTTTTTAAAAATTGAATTCAAATTCCACCTTCTGTCGTGGCGGGATACGAGCCCAACTCCCCAGAACATTACCCCTGTCTCTGGATTAACAGTCCAGCGATAATACCATTAGGCCATCGCCTGCCTATAGTTTCCGGTCATTCATGTTGTTTTAGGGAGGGAAATCGACTGCCCATACCTGGTCTGGCCTACGTGTGGCTCCAAACTCCAGGCAATGTTATTGTCTCTTAGCTGCCCTCTGGGCAATTAGGGATGGCCAATAAATACTGGCCTCGCCAGTGATGCCAATATCCAATGAAAGAATAAAGGGAAAAAACTTGGAAGCATGCCAGAAAAATGCAGCAGGCCTTGCCTGAGATCCCCAAACCTTTAATAAAAATAAAGTCCTCTTGTTTCAGTGCAGCTCCTGCTCAAGGTAACCTGGCTGCTGCTGTTTTAAATAAAAAACAAATCTGGGGCATTAATAATGATCATATCAATCTGAGCAAGACCAGCAAACGCAGCCTACACCAGGAATCATAGGGAATATAGGAGCTGGAGTAGGCCGTTCAGCCCCTTGAGCCTGTTCCACCGTTCAGTGAGATCATGGCTGATCTCTGGCCTAAATCTGCAGACCTGCCTTTGGGCCGAATCCCTTCATACATTTGCGTGACAAAAATTTTTGTTATCTCGGATTTTAAAATTAACAACTGATCCAGCATCCTACTGTTGTTTGTGGAAGAGAGTTCCCAACATCTGCCACCCTTTGTGTGTGGAAGTGCTTCCTAACATCTCTCCTGAACAGTCTGGCCCCAATTCTCAGACAATGCCCCTAGTTCTAGAATCCCCAATCAGAGGAAATGGTTTACCCGCCCTGTCATTTCCTGTTAATATCTTGAAGACTTTGATCAGATCACCCGTTTAACCCTGTAAATTCTAGAGTATCAAGTCGTGTTCTCCTGTGCTTCTATTGATAAGGGTGCTCTGATGAACCCGGTTTACAGAGATAGGAGATTGAGTGTTGGACATGGCTCAGTGGTTATTGCTCTGAGCCTTTTAAGGTGATGTGAGTGCCATTTGAGAGAGACGCGAGGGTAAAATCCAGGTAGAAGGCTCGGTGTAGTGCCCGAGAGAATCCTGTGCTGACTGTCAATGGAGACCTCTAGGTGAGGCCTCTCCAGTGGCAACCTTCCACAATATTTTCAAAGGTGATCCAGAGGCTGTTATCTCCATTGCCCTGAACAAAATTTGTCTTGCGTCCAACAAAAGGTCATGAGCACGTTGCTGCTTGTGGGAGCTTGCTGTGCACCGGCTAGCTGCTGTTTCCGCTGCGTTTGAGCGGTGACTGCATTTCAAAAGAACGTTAATGGCTGCACCTCACTGAGGCATGCTGCGATTGTTAAAATGGGTTGCTAAAGTTCCACTTTTCCACTTTTTTTTTCTCTCCATTCAGCAACTCTGCAGCATCAGGTTCCAGTCAGTGATTTCTGATCCTGGTTATTCATTCACGTGCCCCCCCCCCCCCC